GAGGGACAGAGAGGGGGGGAGAGAGAGAGGGAGAGAAAGAGAGGGGGGAGGGAGAGAGAGAGGGGGAAAGGTGGAGGGAGAGAGAGGGGAGAGAGAGAGAGAATAGATAGAGATTGTTGGAGGTTTCAGCTCTGTGAGTTGCGCGGTGCTGACTCTCTTGTGTATTATCAGACACATTCTCCGTGATACTTTGTTTCGATGTTCTCTCTTTTCTTAGTGCTGTTTCCTTCATGTCGCCCCCCCTGTATTGTATCTGTCATCTCCTCGCCCCCGTCCTCTTGGTTGTAGTATATACTCTCCCCCGGAGCCCGGTGTATACAATGTATAAATCATGACATGGATATGATGTGTCCTCTCATACAGTAAGTGGATGATAACATTTCCCAGTCCGCGGACCGTCCTCCTCCACCTCTCCTCTCTATGGTAGCGCACGTGGTTGGCGGCTTCTGTCAGACTTGAAGGCCGATGTGATAAATATTTATATGTGCGAGAGACAGGAAGGCGGAGGAGCGCCATATCCAAGGACCTCGGAGAATTCTTACACGGCTCACCCTCAGCTGGGATTTTCTAACATGATAGCTGTAGCTGGGAACTCTCCGGAACCGACCCGGAGTCTCGGTATTCCTCCTAATGTTTAAATCTGAACTCCGGGATTGTCCGCATACAAGAGTCATGTGCGTTCTTATAGAATCTCGGTGAGCTTTGTGTATTTCTTCCAGATCTGTGCAGTAATCCCGTGTGACACTTCCTGTAATAAAGACCGCTCACTGCTGCTCTCTCCGTGTACATGGTGACTGGTCTTGTCTCCGCCCCCTCCTGTAATAAAGACCGCTCACTGCTGCTCTCTCTCCGTGTGCAGGGTGACTGGTCTTTGGCTGTAGGTGTAAGTAAACTCTACCAGGACAGTTAAAGCTGATGATAATTCTCAGTGCAGGAGAGGAGCCAGTACAACTGTGGAAGACTGAAGGGAAGGACGGAGGTCAGATATAAGACTGAAGGGAAGGACGGAGGTCAGATATAAGACTGAAGGGGAGGACGGAGGTCAGATAGAAGACTGAAGGGAAGGACGGAGGTCAGATAGAAGACTGAAGGGGAGGACGGAGGTCAGATAGAAGACTGAAGGGGAGGACGGAGGTCACATAGAAGACTGAAGGGGAAGACGGAGGTCAGATAGAAGACTGAAGGGGAGGACGGAGGTCACATAGAAGACTGAAGGGGAGGACGGAGGTCACATAGAAGACTGAAGGGGAGGACGGAGGTCCGATATAAAAAATACCGCAGAAGGTGTGATCGGGGGACGAGGCGCCGGCGATGTTATCAGCTAGTGCTGGTGGGGAGGACGATGTGACAGTTGACAAACCGCTGCGGGTGGACCCGGCTCTCATCGGCTGGGCTCTGCACATGAAACACATTCCGATGACAGGGAAGTGTTTATGTCTGGGGGAACTGTGCACATCATCATCAGCCGCCTCGGGACAGTGTCAGCTCTCTAAGCCGAGCGTAGAATGACTCAGCGCTGACTCACACCGACAACCCGCGATTAGCCTTTGAAGAATATTGTCTTCTGACACGAGGCCGTGCACAGAGCGAGACGGCGCAACTCTCATCACATCAACGTAAACACGGCCCATCATCCTCAAGAGGTCCCCCCCGGCGCGTGCGAAAACCGCGCTTTTTATTCTTTCTACGTAACAGTAACATTGTCACATTTCATGAAATTATTACAAACTCCCCGAGGGGCTCAGATTTCATGTCTGGATTCTCCTTCTGCCTTTCCTAAGTCATTTAACTCTTTCACCGCTGGAAGCCATTTTTTTTTTCTTCATTTTGCGATACAAACGCACATTTTGTGCAGGAAAGGTCATTTTTGGTAAAATATATATATATATATTTTTTAAAAAGGTTGTAACAAGCAAGGCCGGATTTACTCTCTATGCTGCCCCAATGGCAGGGTCCTCAGTGCGCCCCCCCTGCATGCAGGCTGCATACAAGTGATCTCAGGGACATCGCCGGGATCACTTGTACAAAACAAGCGGCGGCTTCCCCCGCTCTACATTTAGCTCTGCTTGCCCAAAGCCGGGCTAAATGTGGAAAGCAACTACCCGCCCGGCCCCCGGTACTGCGTGTCCCGGGCATCAGGAGATAGGAATTCCACACCCCTGCTGCCCCTCTACTCCCTGCTGCCCCAAGGCCGGGCCTTGGTTAGGTGTGGCGACTGCATTCGTTTTCTTTTTTCGGGGGTTGTTTCCTTTTATTTTCACCTGATGATCCTGCCAGTAACACACTTTCTTTCTCAGGGGCGAGCAAGTGTGTTGGGATTACAGAATACCCCCCTCCTCTTCTACATAATATGTGTGGAGGTGTTCTGTAGTCTTAACACTTCCTGGTAACAGAGTGCACGGGACAGCACTGGATTTTGGCAGGTTTTTGTTTTTGCGTGCGTGCATTTATAGAACAGATAAGTGCAATGTCACTTTCAATGTGATCAAAGGATGATGGTAGAGGGGCAGCAGCTGGTACTGATGGTGGAGCCGAGCTGGCCAGGCGACTGTGGCGGAAGACTGTGTGAAGGCGCAAGTGTCAGAGGGTGCACTGGACACAAGATGCTCTGGGGTGCACTGGAGTCACAGGGGGGAGATAGGGGCACGCTGGGGTCATGAGAGGTACTGGGCACACTCGAGACTTTGGATATACTGGGCACACTTAAGTCACTGGATGTACTAGGCGCACTGTAGTCACTGGGTACACTGGGCACACTGAAGGAACAGGGTACACTGGGATTACTGGAGTCGATGGATACACTGGGAGCAATGGAATGACTGGGTGCACTGGAGTCACTGGGTACACTGGAGTAAGAGGGTACTCTGGGCACCATGAAATCACTGGGTACACTGGGCTCACTGGAGTTACTGAGAGCACTGGGCTTACTGGAGTCGATGGGTACACTGGGAGCAATGGAATCACTGGGCTTACTGGAGTCGATGGGTACACTGGGAGCAATGGAATCACTGGGCTTACTGGAGTCGATGGGTACACTGGGAGCAATGGAATCACTGGGCTTACTGGAGTCTATGGGTACACTGGGAGCAATGGAATCACTGGGCTTACTGGAGTCGATGGGTACACTGGGAGCAATAGAATCACTGGGCTTACTGGAGTCGATGGGTATACTGGGAGCAATGGAATCACTGGGCTTACTGGAGTCGATGGGTACACTGGGAGCAATGGAATCACTAGGTGCACTGGGTACACTGGGCACACTGGAGTAACAGGGTACTCTGGGCACTGTGAAATCACTGGGTGCACTGGGCTCACTGGAGTCAATGGGTACACTGGGTGCACTGGAATCACTGGCTGTGCTGGAGTCACTGGGTTCACTGGAGTCACTGGCTGTGCTGGAGTCACTGAGTTCACTGGAGTCACTGGGTTCACTGGAGTCACTGGCTGCAATGGGCTCACTGGTGTCAGGCATGGAGGACACACAGGTAAGTACAACAGCAGGGAGCAGAGCAATGCGTCGCTTCACAATATAAAGCTATGTGCTGATCACTCTCCTGAGTGACCATGAGTCATGCCTGTGGCTGGCAGAGTCTTGCAAGGACTCATGGGACTTGTATCTCGCGTGTTGGTGTAGAAGCCCCAGGGGATGTCCGGGGAACCATTGAACTTCCACTCAGCCACCGAACTGCGGACAAAAATGATCATTAGTAAGGAAGATTCTATCCATGCCTATAATACGAGGTGAGGATCGTACACAGCGTCCTACATGTTCATACTGCACCCTGCCTGGGTACTGACTGCAAAACCCAAGCTGAAGACTTCACTCCGGGATCAGTACATTTTGTCTAAATACAATTCTTACACAGACTCACAATCAGCTTCTGGCTGGGATCTGCCAAGCTGATAGCCGTAGCTGGGAACTATCCGGATCTGACCCGAGGAACTATCCAGATCTGACCCAAGGAACTCTCTGGATCTGGCCTCAGGAACTCTCCGGATCTGATCCGAGAAACTATCCGGATCGTACAGACTCACCTGCCATTATGGCCACCACACTTCAAGGTAATTGCGTCACCAATCCTGCCGTACACAACACCTGCAACAAGAAGCAACAATTTCATTCATATTTGTGTTCTTCCATGTCAGGTGATCATAGAAACATACCGAACGTTATCATCTATAAATGATCACATGACCGTGCAACCTGTACACTGACTGTGCCCATTATGAGGAGCTCCCACCATCAATGTGCTGAGTTCCCGGGTCTGTACACCTGCTGTGCCCATTATGAGGAGCTCCCACCATTCCTGTGCTGAGTTCCCGGGTCTGTACCCCCGCTGTGCCCATTATGAGGAGCTCCCACCATCCCTATGCTGAGTTCCCATGTCTGTACACCTGCTGTGCCCATTATAAGAAGCTCCCACCATCCCTATGCTGAGTTCCCGGGTCTGTACACCCGCTGTGCCCATTATGAGGATCTCCCACCATCCCTGTGCTGAGTTCCCGGGTCTGTACACCCGCTGTGCCCATTATGTGGGGCTCCCACCATCCCTGTGCTGAGTTCCCGGGTCTGTACACCCGCTGTGCCCATTATGAGGGGCTCCCACCATCCTCGTTGGATGTGTTGTCTATCATAGAGGATATATATATGTTTCCTTCATGACTTTGTTGTCCTCTCTCCAGTTCTTAGTCATCTACTACACTCTTCATGAGTCACCGCGCTGTAAATACTCATCTGTGTGAAATATTAATCAGTGTTCTATGTTCTGTCTCCGAGCAGAACTTCAAAGGAAACACTTTGTATTGAAAATCGTTGTTTATCTGAAAGTTATTTTTGTTGTGACTTTTACATTTTCCTTTTTTTTTTGCTTCTCCCTATTTCACAATATAATTTCCTATCTACAGATGATCTTTGGGACTTTTTTTTATTTGTGGACGAGGATGTCATGGAGTTTGGAGGTCTGTAGCTATTGACTCTGCAGACAGTTGGCGAATTCTGCGCACTGCGCGCTTCAGCATGCGCTGACCCCGCTCTGTCATGTGACGTGGCCGACCACTTCCTGGCTGAGTTGCTGTTGTTCCCAGTTGCTTCCACTTTGTTATAATACCAGTAACAGGTGACCGCGGAATATTTAGCAGCCAGGAAATGTCACGGAACACCTGAATCCAGTGATTTGGAGGGGGAGGGGCCCAATACTTTTGGCAATATTGTGTACATTTCGGGGATGGACGATGCAGAGAAATGAGAAAGAAAGAAATCATTGAAACAATGTAACAATTGGAAGCCGGTCTATTGTTTTCCTTCACTGGCCTCAGTAGTCACCCTGATAAGGAAAACACAGACTACAGCCTGCAGGGGCAACAGTAATTGCCAAGGGGCCACTTGGGGCCCCCCAGGCCTCGATTTGGCACCAGGGCTCTACAAACTGCGACTTACCTTCCTCCTCCCATGTATGTGACGGCACCACTGAAGCGGAGATGGCGACCACAGCGACAAGGACTATCACCCGGCTAAGACATGATGCCAAGCTGATCATCTGCAAGAGACACAGAGAGGGGAAAATTCAATGATTCGAGGATATGGAGAACGGCCGGGTCATGTGACTTGTATTGGGAGGGAGGGAGGAGCCGCAGTACACAATCACTGCGCAGGGTTACTATGCAGGAAGCATGAACAAGTACTATGCAAATATGTCCGCCATCATATACAGATACATGTACATTGTATACAGGAAACCGACTTCCTAAAATATCGACATTCATTCATACAATTGTTTCTATTAGTTGGAGAAAAGTCACAGGTATAGAATGTAGAAAGGACAATGACAGGGTCTCTTTAACTCCTCGAAGGGCAGCAGAGGAAGTCAAACTAGCATCACATTTCTTTTCCCATGTTAAGTGTCATTGTAACACTTCCAGGTATATGTTACCACTCACAGAGATTACGGAGCTCCCCCTGACAATGGCGTTATTCTCTCCAGAATGACGGCGCCATCTTTGTTCAGGCATCATCCAGGGTCACCATCTACTTCCTGGACTGAGATGGCAGCCCAGAGATGACGCAGTCGTGTAAATCCTGGTGACTGTGTAGTCGTGTTCACAAATGCCTGACACGGGTCATCCCCCCTGCTGCAGCCTCTCCTTTTAGCCATGTGACTTGCTACAAAGTTACAATGTTGTATCACTGATCACTGGGGGGAGGGGAGACTGAGGAAATGCTTCCTCCTGCCTGCAGCAGTCTGATCACTGGGGGAGAGGAGACTGAGGAAATGCTTCCTCCTGCCTGCAGCAGACTGATCACTGGGGGGAGGGGAAACGGAGGAAATGCTTCCTCCTGCCTGCAACAGACTGATCACTGGGGGAGGGGAGACTGAGGAAATGCTTCCTCCTGCCTGCAACAGACTGATCACTGGGGGAGGGGAGACTGAGGAAATGCTTCCTGCTGCCTGCAGCAGACCGATCACTGGGGGAAGGGAGACTGAGGAAATGCTGCCTCCTGCCTGCAGCAGACCGATCACTGTGGGAGGGGAGACTGAGGAAATGCTTCCTCCTGCCTCCAGCAGACGGATCACTGGGTGAGGGGAGACTGAGGAAATACTTCCTCCTGCCTGCAGTTGACTGACGACATGGTCTCAGCCTAGGCAAAGTCACTGGGTGGAGATGAAGGACGGCTTTTTACTGATAATGGGCGGAGCATTTCTGAAAAATGATACATGATGATAATGACATGTCAGATGTATAGTCAGAGACAGGTTCTCTTTAAGAAGAGTTGGTTAATAGTTCTTTAACCTCTTAGACCCCTGTTCACACTGAGCGGTTTGTCGCACGATTTCCGCTCCAAAATCGCGCACCAGGTCGCTCGTCCAATGCATTTCAATGGAGCTGTTCACATCTCACAGCTCCATGTCGCCTGAAGCTCCTCGCTCGTACATGACCCTTTTTTCGGCGCGATGTGGCTCCGATAGACTCAACGGCGTCGCAGCAAATCGCGCATCGCCGGCGGTATTGCGCAACCTTGTCGCGCTACAGAAGGGTCACTTTTGCATTGCAAAATGGAAGGAAAGAATGATGTCACATCAAGACCGCTGTTGATTGGTTACAGCCCAATGTAGCAGCGACGAAGTCCCGCCCCCAAAAAAAACGCGCTACGTAGCGCGATAAAATGTGCACTGTCGCTCAATATCGCGCGATGCAGCTCAAAGCCGCTCAGCACGAAATAGCGCGGAAATACGCGCGATACACCATGTTGCTCAGTGTGAATGGGGTAGTATGTACTGGGATGAATAGCACGTAGGGAGGATACACTTGCAGTCAGCTGATAAGGCATCCACCACCCCACCCCCGCTTCATTATAATGGGAACATTTATCAGTTCTCCAGCCGTTCCTGTTTCCTTATTTCCTGTTTTCTGAGCATTTTGGCCACATTCGGCACACCGACCAGACTCCGCGCAAGTGTTAAGAGGAACACTTATCAGGAGTCTTCTAAAGCCATCAGTGAGTTCTCAGCGTAGCCGTAAGTAGATGACATGGCCCAGGGGCGTATCTGCCGCGAGGCAAACAAGGCGTTTGCCTGGAGCGGCAGATTCGCTGAGGGCGGCGATGCTGCCTTGCCTAGGGCAAAGCTGCACATCCGCCCCCCGATTCCCGTAGATGGCATCACCCACCTCTGTATAGTGCGCTCTCGCCGCCAGCGCCACGACACAGAGCAGCAGCCGGGCATCTAGCACACAGAGCCGCTGCTGCACGTGACGCGGAAGTCTTCCTCCTGTCATCGGCTGCTGCTCTGTGTCGTGGTGCTGGCGCTGGTGGCGAGAGCGCACTATACAGAGGTGGGTGATG